TTCCCTTCTTGTATTCAAACAGCATTACATACCAAGTGTGTGTCTCGTCGTGTGCCACCACTATAAGGGATTAGAGTATAGTAAACTTTACAATTATATAGGCTACACTAACGTGATGTTCGTTTAACTATTATACGTGATGTATGTTTTTTTTTGGGGGGGGGGTAGTTAATGAAAGTGTTCCAAAACGCGACATTAATTTTCTGACGACCTAATACTATTCAGAATACATTACATGGTTCATGTTAGTTATTTAATAAGGCATTCAATTCACACACACACACACACACATATATATATATACTATCAAAAATATCGTTTAAATTCTTTGCTTGCACGAAATTACTACTTAGCAAGAGAAATTTAAAGTATCACTGTGAATATAATTCCTCACCCTACAATATAAAGTATCACTTAAATCCTCACTTTACATTTAATTACCTTTTAAAAAGTACAATATAAGGTATCATTGTGTTATTCTCTCCCTACTGTAAACTATCTTTAAAAAGTACTGTATAAAGTACCACTATGTATTTCTTTCCCTAAAATGAAGTATCCTTTAAAAATACACTATAAAGTACCACTGTGTGATCTTCTCCCACACAATGAACTACTCTTTAAAAAGTTCGTTATACAGTATTACTGTGTGATCCTCTTCCATAAAGTAAATAACCGTTTAACAAGTACATTATATAATATCAGTGTATCATCCTCTCTACAATGAATTACGCTTTGCAAAGTACAAAATAAAGTATCACTGTTTAATACTCTCCTTATAAGGAATTACGCTTTGAGCAAGTAAAACATACACAATAAATAGTTTCACTTTTCTTTTAGGTAAATTCCATGAGGATACAAAAACATTACGTATCACTTATAATTATTTTTTCCCAATTAGGAATATTCCTCAACGAGAAGAAATAGTCTTTTTAACCGCCCGCCCAGTGACACAGCGGTATGTCTGCGGACTTGTATCGCTAGAAACCGGGTTTCGATACTGTGATGGGCAAAGCGCAGATAGCCTTTTGTGAAGCTTTGTGTTTAACTGCTAACAAACTTCTTAACCGCAGCATAGCGGCTCATAGAATGACTCTGAGTTTTTTTTTTTAAGCACAAACTTTTAACTCATAGCTCCATTTCTTGACCGATTTGAGATCTAATTACAGCCGCGGCTATTGAGAGTTCCCTCTTGTTTTTCAGATACATTTCCTTTAAAAGATAATTTCTGTTTAATATTTTTTGCCATAGAAAATAATTAAAGATCTAACTTTTGTTTCTATTTGCTTTGTTTAGTAATTCATTTATTGACTTGTCTCCATAGTTTAAGGGCCCGGCATGGACAGGTGGTTAGGGCGCTCGACACGCAATCTGCAGGTCGCGGGTTCGAATCCCCATCACACTAAACATGCTTGCCCTTTCAGCCGTGGGGGCGTTATAATGTGACTTATAATCCCACTATTCGTTGGTAAAAAAGTAGCCCAACAGTTGGCGGTAGGTGGTGATGACTAGCTGCCTTCTCTCTAGTCTTACACTGCTAAATTAGGGACGGTTAGCGCAGATATCCCTCGTGCAGCTTTGCGCAAAATTCAAAACAAGCAAACAAACCATAGTTTTAGTATACGTACAACATTTTCCATGTCACCAACACCATGAAGTCGGCCTGGGTGTTTCAGATTGCTTTGACTTGGTTCATCAAAGTGAAATGCTGGAAGATTGATGAAATCAACAGACCTAAAACAAATAAAGAAATGATTGTAAGCATACATAGTATCGTCAGTAGGTCACGTTATATGTAATAGATATCAAAAGACAAATATGGTAGACCTACTTTGAAATCAGTGGAAAATCAAAACCATTCACCAGAAGATAGGGTCTTTTGGCCACAGTAATTGTCAGAACAACAGGATTGGAAGAGTTAATCTCATCAAGAGCTGATCTCAGTTGCTAGGAGAATATAAAAGGAAATTAAAAGGCAGCTAAATTTTCAAATCATCGGTCGATTTTCATGCTGAATGATGAAAATATTTTTTCTAAAACTAACTATTGTTTGACTCTCACACATAAATAAATGACTTATTTATTCCAAATGATGTTCTTATACTTTCTCTCCCCTTTAGAAAATATAGCATACTACATGCAAAATCGTGTTTTACAAAAAAAAACGTGTAGAATGCCACATTACATCAGATCGCCATGATGAATTTCACTAGTTTTAAATCTTGTTGAAAAAAGTGAGTGAATAATAATAACACAGAGCAACAATATCTTATATCGTAATATCATCGTGTTATTTTCAGTTTTTACTTTTTGAAAACATAATTTTTTTTTCAAAGAAGTGGTGCCTTGTCAAGTATAATACATCTTAGCGCCTGCAGCTCCTATGTGTAAAATTTATATAGGTTTGCACATTTTTATTGACAATGAGATAAAAATTGTGCCCTCCAGTGGCATAGCGATAAGTCTGCGGACTTACAACGCTAAAATCCGGGTTTCGATACCCGTGGTGGGCAGAGCACAGATATCCCATTGTGTAGCTTTGTGCTTAATTACAAACAAAGAAACAAACAAAATAAAAACTGCTTATGCTGTAAAAGTGGGTTTAAAGACACCTATTTTGAATTTTCATTGGATAATGTGTTTTAAATTATCGCATGCCTTCTTTTTATATTCCCTGTCTCCGGAGGGTTTTAAAGATGTTCTACAAGATGCAAAAAGAACTAAAGGGGTAAAATATACTGGAGCCCTTTTGTTGAATCTGTATATATATAATTTTAACTCCAATATAAACAAAACTAAATTTGTTATTAATTTCAAATAAAAAGTGTTTTTGATCGGCAAATAATCTTTTAAAATACGTAATAATAAATCTATTAATTGCTTTTAGACAACTAGAATTTACTGGTACGTAAGCTAAGAATACTTTATGCCGTATAGTGATTAGCCCCTGTACTAGGATCCCCATCTAGTGTCGGATTCTCACTATGATAATAGTTTGAATTCGGTACAGAATAAACCGAACAAAACTGTGGATGGTAAACGTTGAAACATGTTTTTCTTGTCTACCAGTTGATGATATCTAATTTCTATGTATCTGTAAATATCTGGTATACCTACTGGTATTCTATGTATGACCAGATATTTACAATACCTACTGGTATACGATTTATGTGCTTGTTAATTTTTTGGTTACGGCTAGTAAATGCTAAAATGTGTCTCATGTATGGTAGATACTAAAATGTGTATCATGTCTGATAGGTATTAAAATGTGTCTCATGTCTGATAAATACTAGAATATGTCTCATTTTTGACAGATACTAGAATGTATCTCATGTCTGATATATATTAAAATATGACTTATGTCTAATAGATACTAAAATGTGTCTCGTGTCTGATGACTTTTGAACTACAAAGTTTCAACAGGTAAATGTTGATATGTATGCCTGATGCTGTTAATTATTCAATTACAACTAATATAACTTGAGATACGTGTTTCATGTCTTTTGGTTGATGGAATACGACTACTAAATATTAGAATGTGTCTTACATTTTCTTCCTGCTGGAATACAACTGATAATGATAGGAAGATGTATCTCATGTATGTATATTTTTCAAATAAATATAGGGTGTCTGCTTCTTACTTGTTAATTGTTGGAGTTAACAAATGATAAATCTTAGAATTCGGGTAATGTCTGTTAATATTTGGTAGTTATCATTATATATATATATATATGTATGTATATGTAGGACTGATATTATATTTATATTACAGGGCTGATAATTCTTTGTTCATGTTTTATAATGTCCCTGGCAGTTGCATATAATTATATTTTCTTATATCTAAAACCATTTGACACTATAGACAAATTCAACTTGTAGTTGTTGTATCATGAATTTAAGAAGACTTACATATTTATATAGTTGAATATATTTTAAGAATCTTAACAGGCGTACCTTCATAAGAAGTGACACGGTTTCTTTGCGTTCAGTCAAATCTCCATATTCTTTCCGATTGAGATAATCAATATTCAGGTCAATTCCGTCAAGGTTATTTTTTTGAACGAGTTTTCGAACATTTTTGATAAATTCCTTGAGTGCATTATTGATTTCCGACACAGAGGACGAGACGTTGGAGTTGATATTATCAGGGAAGACACGAAGAGAGAGAAGAATATAAAGATTAGGGTTTATATTCTTTAAATCTGAGAAAGATTTCAGGTCTTCTGAGTCTGTAAAAGAAAAAGTAATATTGTAAGTTATGAATCATACTTATATGAGTTATATTTTCTATCCTTCCGCCATTCTGTTATTTTCACAAATTCTAATTTTGTACGAGTTCATGCTGTTTAAACTGTTCTGAACGTTTTCAACTATATCTTTCTTACTATAAGGAAATCTTTCATTAACCTCGAACACTTCTACATTATAATGTATGAAGTACAATACTCTCAGACCAGAGACGTTTGTTATAAGTTATACGAGTATCGTAATAATGTTTTTAATTAATGTGATAGAATTTTTTTTTATTCACGAAAATAACACCAGAAAAAGTTATTCACTGATGTAGTCAAAATTTCTAGCTCACCCAGCTCTTCGGTGTTTAAGATTAAACCGTTGGTAACGTTTGGAGTTCCATACAACAGATGTGTACATATACAGGGATCTAGCTGGGACAGTCGAAAGTCCGTTCCTGCTTCGTAATAGCAAACGAGTTTTTTCTCAGGCAAAATCACAGAATCGCAAGAACCTAAAATAATGAAACATTTGATATCACATAATTCATACCGTGTAGAATAGCGTTATTAAAGGCTTTATTTAATAAAAAAAAGTTATATTAATTAAAGATATATATATATATATATATTTAGTTTCCAGAATAATTCCCACTGTTATATTTATTTTACTGCCAGTACAATTCGACACTTATTATGAGATAAATAACGAGTGGTTGATTGTTCGAGGTTTTATTATTTTACTAGCAGGATACCCGGCGTTGCCCGGGTACCGAAGCACTCAGTTTAGTGACCACATGATTAAGAGGAAAATAATTAAAAACCTCCATGATAATTGTGCCTGAATTATAATTCTTTCAGACAAAATATTTATGTTCTTTGTAAGAGAAATACACAATTCAAAGAAACTTGACTTTTGTCGAAAACATATTCAGCTGAGGGTTTCATGAGAATATAGTCAATTAAGGGGTTCATGATAAACAATGTTTTTAGTTTTCTCACATGGAGTATTTACACAAAGATTTTTTGGGCTTCCAACACGTGAGCATCCAACATAGAGCTCTCCATGAGAGAAGCAGGGCTCTTCCAACTGCAATCTAGTTACCTTCAATGTCTGACCTTGCGATTTGTTGATGGACATGGAAAAGCTAAAGAGAATGTGAAACTGTAGTCTCTTAAACTCAAATGGCATATCAATGGGAATCATTGGGATTCTCGGTTTGAAAACATCTTCACCCTTGCCACATCCAGAAAGTATTGTAGCTTCAATAACATGGGGCATAAGCATCTTTACTGCCAGCCTTGTTCCATTGCACAGACGTGGTGGATCAAAATTTCGGAGTACCATGATCGGTGCTCCTACTTTTAAACTAAAACCATGTGGTGGGACTCCTGGAGGTTCAAGTGAATTCAGAAACTTTGGGGGATAGTTGACTACTTGGGTTTGATCAGGCACTGAGTCCACTGACTTGTAGTACTGGGTATTGCCAGGTATCTGCTGCAACAGCTGTGTATTGATGACATTGACAACATTGTTCTTTGGAGCTAATATTGCTCTTTTACAAAGCCACCTGTGATTTTGATAGTTTTCATAAAGGTTTGGGAAAACCTTTGCTATGAGTTCATCAACAGATGTTACTTGTGTACAGATTGGTCCCATGTCAATTGTTCTTGTTGATCTTGTTTGACTTTGCCATTGCCTAGTTGCAATATACTCTCAGCAAATTCTCCAGATAATTGATCTCCATGCAGATGGGCTCTCATATTGGTAGATAGGTGTAAGTTTTTTACGTTTCTCCAAAGATGAAAAGCTGTTATGCAAACTGAACATGTTTGAGCAGTTGTAGTATGTTTGAAATTGATTTTCATAATGTTTTCACCAATTTTGGACGATGAAGACTAATTTTCACCAGTTTTTGCCTTATTTTGTGTCACTGCGACCTCAGATGGCCTCGACATTCTGGATGAAAAGTTAGTCCTAATGAACCTATTTTGACATTTGTAAAGTGGTCCATATCGAGTTGTATTTGGAACAAACAAACAAACAGACATACATTCACAAATATATAATAGATTTGTACTGTACACTGTGTTCGGAAATAATAATTTCATCTTCAAAGTCAGTGGAATACTTATTGACCGCCTACTCAACATTTTCAAATGAATTTCCTATAAATCTCTATACAGACTGTTAACGTCCAGGAAATGTCTCCCCACTAGTTTCTCCCAAAATTTCAAAGAAACGGCCTAACCGTTTTAACGTAACCAGTAAAAGTTCTCGTGTCAAGGATTCCATTTCTTTCGATGACCTCACGGGGACGGCGTACGTGTACATCAGTTGACAGCAATAGGAAATGGGGGAAAAAACAACACAAGAAAATTAATAAAACAAGAGGTTTCAGAATCTTTCTATGGCAATTTCGTTAGAAGCATACGAACAGATACATACTGCTTATAGCATAGATGTAACAAACAATAACATTTTTGTTTCAGAATAACTGGACATGAGGTAGAAATTATATATATTCGTTTGCTTTTAAGTGCAAAGCTGGACAATGGCTACCTGCACTATGTCCACCGTGGATATCGAACCCCGATTTTCAATGGCTACCTGCACTATGTCCACCGTGGATATTGAACCTTGATTTTCAATGGCTACCTGCACTATGTCCACCGTGGATATTGAACCTTGATTTTCAATGGCTACCTGCACTATGTCCACCGTGGATATCGAACCACGATGTTTAGCTTTATAAGCCCTCACTATGGGCCACTGGTGTGCTGAGTTAGAAAATAATACGAAGAGACGATAGTTCAATACAGTTTGCGGAAGCATGTGTAATAATCTTTATGTAGTGATCTTAAGTTACTCTTTTTTCAACCACAGAGTGAGTTGTTTCGTTACTATTACATATTTTTATTCGTGTCTATGCTTTTCTAAGAGTTTAGAAACAGCTATGTTTCGTTCTATTAAAAGGTTGAATCCTACACCTCAGTTAAATTAGAGCCAATTCTATATACTAACATAATACTCTTGCAATTTGCTCCACTTCACATCTTTCACATGGAAAATACTGAAACTGTGAGATAAATGTGAAAATGTTGTTTTCTGTATATTTATTTTGGCTAAAGTTTTTCGAGCCAGAACTGCTTAACATTAAAGTAATTAAACATATATATAAGAATTAAGAAAACAAATGCTAACGAAGATGTACAATGAGGTAACAGTTTCAGAAATGCGAAGATTGAAGATAATATCAAACAATGAGATATATCATTTTTTAGGGTAATAATAAGTCTGAAAGACAGACGTGTGCACAAATTTGACACGTTTCCCAGTGACTTAGCGGTAAGCTTGAGAGCTTATAATGCTAAAATTCGTGGCTCGATCCTCACGAGGGACAGTGGAGACAAAACTTACAAATATGGCTATCTGAGTAGAGAATTATTGAATTGAATTTTATAAGCCTCATAAACCAAGAATAAGGATCCGTTTAAAATGACTACCTTTCGCTCCTGACCTATATTATTTATTTGGCCAGTCTTCTAGAAAAATAAAGAAACAATAAGTTAAGAAGTCTTCATATGCTATTTCTTTCAAAAATGAACTTGAACATAATTTGCTAATCTACCTCTTGAGTGGGGCACAGTGCTTTGTTTTTAATTATGCACAAAACTACACAATGGGCTCTCTGTGCGCTGCTCATCACGGGTATCGAAACTCGGTATCTAGCGTTGTAAGTCCACAGACATACCACTGTGCCACTGGAAGAAGGCACAACGCTCAGTGCGTATAAACATAAAGATAAGATTTACAGTTATTCCACATCAGCACCACCACGTCTCAGGTTATTTAAAGGCAATGTGAAAATATGTACATATATAACGACATTTTCGGCCACTGTTTTATATATATATATATATACGTAATTCTTCAAGCAGTGGACTTTTTTTGTAATTTCTACTCATTTATATACAACAAAGGGGTCAACAAAATCACTTATGTTACCCTGAGGTTCGTTACTAAACTTATGATAATGTATATACATATATATATAAAAATATCACGAACCTCGGTTCCTTTTCTTGGCTTACTCTACTACAATATACGTAATGAATTATATAAGATTTCATTAATTTTCACTTCAACGCCCTCTCAGTTTTATAAACTTTGTAAAATATATTTAATAACTTGTTGAAAGCGATCCGTGTGAAGTTCGTTCATTCTGTATCACTTCCACAATTGGCTTGTTCATAAAATGAACATTTATTGAATAAGTCATTAAAACATTGCAACGCTTTAATGTTAATTTCAGTGACGTAGGCAGTTATCCACTGACGTTGTAATGGACAAGACTGATGCGAAGTAACTTTGATAACGAACAAAATTGCAAACACCATAAACTATGGAATGTTTTTATTCATGCTATCAACATTATTCAGCCTACCTAATTAATTAATGTGTTAAAATGACACATAAGCTAAAATTTAATGTTTCAAAATTTTTTATTTCACTTTTTACCTTTTATAAAAAAAATTGACATAGACAAATAAGTTGGATTGACTTTTCAACATATAATTTCGTCAAAGAATGTCCATGTATTTAATTCATTCTTTAGTTGTTATCTCAAGCTTGATACAAACAGCGAAACCGGAATTACATCCTACAGGTGTAAAGTGATGTACGTCCTGATTACGTAACTCACTCAAAAGATGTAAATATAACTTGACTACTTTTGTTTGATTTTCATAAAAAATAAAAAATTCTTAAGTAATAAACTTGACCCATATTTGATCAGTTGTATTTGCTTACCACAACTACCGCTGCTTGAGTCAACGAATCTATAAAAAACGATTCATTTCATTTAGTACTTTGTGTAAAACGTTTTCAGTTAACATCGTTTTTGGTTTTGCTGGAACAGATAAAGTGATATCATTGTCAGCAAGAAAAATAAACTGATTATTAAATAAATATCCGAGTTTTTCAAATCTAATTAACAAGAAACTTCACATTACTTCACTTATTAGGTAAGGTTTTCAGTCGGTACACCTAATTCAGCGTAATTTTGTAGCAAAATCGTGACAAGATATATTTTTTGGGGGTAGTTAATGTTACAATAATAAAATAAAGTTGAAGCTCAAAAGAGGCCTCTGCTGTAGTCTGTGTTTAAATTTCAGAATTTTCACGAAAAGACCTAACAGAGCATAGCCGTCCCTAATTTTGAACTGATAAACTAAAAATAAAGACAGACAGCCAACAGGACCAATTGTCAACTCTTGGATTACTATTATTTGACTAAATAGAGAGATTTAACCGTCACTTTTAAAGCGCACCCATGGTTTGAAGATGCCGAGCGCATTTCTATGGCAACAGTTCAATCACACTAACTAACTATAGGGCACACTCACCTACTCTCTTTAAATGAATTTTTAATTCAATGGAAGTTTCTAGATAAAAACTAAAAACTTTATTTGTTGTATATGTAATTGTTACGTTCCAATAAATATAAAAGTG